AATACGGTGTAGTCCGGAAGGTGGGCGATGAAGGAGGGGCAAGTGTTCAGGTTCTCCATGTACTATATCGGAGAGGTATTGCGGGTAGGGTCTGATAGGCAGGGAAGACCATTGAACTGGTGGGGCCCCTTAAAGCCCCTTCCTTACTTACAGACTAGCGACCAGAGAGACGGAGCTGACTTCTTCCCTCGCACTCAATGGGGGCGTGTGGACCGGCGGCCGGTGCGGTGCGGTCGCCTTGGTAGCTTCACAGTGTGGCGGCGGCCTGGCAGTATCTGCTCTGTGCCTTGTGTGTGCGTGTGTGTGTGTGTGTGTGTGTGTGTGTGTGTGTGTGTGTGTGTGTGTGCGTGCGTGCGTGTGTGTGTGTGTGTGTGTGTGTTTGCGTGCGTGCGTGTGTGTGTGTGTGTGTGTGTGTGTGTGTGTGTGTGTGTGTGTGTGTGTGTGTGTGTGTGAGCGTGCGTGCGTGCCGCTGCAGGTCGATCTCGTCGAGGAAGACGACGCCTGGCGATCCGTTGGAGTTATTAGTTATTCAGCGCTATAGTGATTACTCCGCTCGATCTCGTCGAGGGAGAACGCCTTCTCCGACGACGGTGGCGGAGCCGTAGGAGAGGACGACGTCGCCGTGGAAGGGCACGTGCTGCGTGATGTGCCTACAGCCGCCCCCCCCCGGCCAACCGAGGACGCGTCATCTGCGCCGCTCACACGCCGCCGCACCCCCGCGCCGCCGCTCGCATGCTGAGAGTCACGGTGATGCCGATGCATGTCTAGGAAGTGTCTCGGAAGTGTCTAGGAAGTGTCTCGCATGCTGAGAGTCGCGGTGATGCCGATGCGGCGGAGGCGGAGGACGAGCTGGTCGGGCATGGTCTGGTACCAGGGCGAGTCCCAGCACACGCCGAAGGTCCACCTCCCGTGGTGCACCTCCTCCACCACCAGCGAGTCGAGCACCAGCCGCGAGCCTACAGGACCGCTCGCGCAAGGCTCCGCAAAGGCGCGGCAAGGCGGCGACACCTCCTCCACCGCCAGCGAGTTGGAGCACGAGCCGGTGCCGTGTACGGCGGGGGCCCCACAGCCGGAATACGCCGTATTCCAGCGGCGCGGAACCGAGCCAGTGCCGGACCGGGCGGGAGGCGCATCTGGCAAGCGTCTCATCTAGCAAGCGCCTGGCCCGAGCGACTGCGGCTCGTTCGGCAGCGCGTCAACCTCGAAGGGGGTGCGGAAGGTGGCGTCGAGGAGGGTCTCGACGCCCTCGGTCAGGCGCTCAGAGTTCTTGTCGAACCGCTGGCACCCTTCCGGCAGCGGCGGGAAGTCGGGGTCGTACCTCTCGAGCAGCGCGGCCGTCTCGTTTTGAGAGAGCAGCGCGGCGCGCTTCTGCTCCCAATAGTAGCGGTACGCGGGTGTCCAGAAGATGAGGGCGTTGAGCATGAGCGCCGCGGTGAGGGCCAGCAAGGTGAAGAGGACCAGCGGCCAGAGGAAGCGGCGCAGCCCCCCCGGCGAGCTCTCCACGTCGGCGATGCTCATGCAGAGTGTCCTCGAGACACCCGACAGGCCCTTGGCCTCGTCCATAAAGGTCGGGCCGCTCAGGCCACCCATCGCGGACCGGGAGCGGGCGAGGTTGGGCTTGGCTCCGAGCGAGCGAGTCGTTGGGGCCTGCGTCTCTGGTGGAGAGAGCACATCCCCGTCGGCGGCGTCTTGCGCCACCGCCGACAAGCGCCTGGTCTGGATGTACTCCCTGGTCGGCTTGTCGCAGAGCGGCTCGTTTGGCTTGAGCCGGCCGCCCCTCGTGGGCGGCATAGAGAGTTGGGCTTACCAAGATCGGCCGAACGCGATCAGATCGTCCAGGACGAAACGAGGCGGCACACAGCGCCTTGCCTTGCACGTCCGTTTGCGAGGAAGAAATCAACTTCCCGCGTCCCATGCCAGGCAGGTTTGCCGTTCTACCCCCACCGGCCTTTGAAAAGAACAGATGAAAGAAAACGCGACGCGTGTTGGCCGGACCGCATCCGCGCCCGCCTTTCTGGCCTCTCGCCGTGGGCGCGCGCGGCGATCCAAGTTGCGAGGTCGCGTTCCACCGCGAACAGGGGAAAAAAGTCAAGACCAGCTTTAAATGATACGCACAGGCGCCACAGCGCACCGCGCTGCAGGAAAAGACAAATCGCACATGAGATTGGGCTTAGCACATGGAGATTTTCCGGAGAGGGGTGTGGGTGGACTATAGGCCTCTCGTCTTGCGGACAGTGCGCCGCGAGCAGAGAGCAGGGGCGAGAGCGGGGCGTCGCAAGGGGGGCGCGAGGAGCTAAGTCGATCCAGACGAGCACGACCGCTCACACGAGAGGTTGTGGAGCGCGAGGCGCTGCGCCGCCTCAGAGCTCGCGCATCGCGGCGCCGCCGTGGCCGTCGAAGGCGAGCTCGTGCGTGTGGTGGCGCGCGAGCTCAGGGCGGTGCGCCACGACGAGGGTGGCCGCCTCGCTCGCGGCGAGGAAGGCGAAGAAGCGCTCCTCGAAGCCGGCCTCGCAGGCGGAGGTTGGCTCGTCGGCGACGATCAGCGCCGGAGGGGAGGAGGAGCGGCACGCGAGGTAGAGGCGCGCGGCGGCGAGGCGCTGCCGCTCGCCGCCGGAGAGGGAGCCGCCTGCGGGCGAGGCCGCGCCGCCGCGGTCAGCGGCGCAAGCGAGGCGAAGCGAGGCGGGGAGGGGGCGGGAGCGAGTCAGCGGCGCAAGCGTGGCGAGGCTAGTGAGGGAGGGGGGGGGGGACGCCGAGGTCTGGCCGCGGCTCGTCGAGCTCGGCGCCGCCTGCGGCGAGCCTCTCGAGCCCGGCCCACGCCAGAGCCTACAGGACGGCGCCTTGAGCGCTCCTCGACCGCCCCGACAAACTTCCCAAGCGGCGGACCCAATCTGAGCCTCGAGAAACATGGCGTCAGCGGCGGGCGCGGCGTCGGCCAGCGGCGTGGGGTACAAGAGCTGCGCCTGCGCTCAAAGCGAAGCGAGGAGCTAAGGCGGGGGCTGGCGGGGGAGTCTCGTCCCCGCGGCGCGAGCGAGGGTGCCCGCAGACAGCCGGTCGGGAGGATGTACGGCCGCTGCGGCAGCGCGACGATCCGGTCGGACGGCGGCGTCGACACCTCGCCCGCGCGCGCCTACACGCGGCGAGGCGCCTCTGGCCCGTCACTCGGCCGGGGCGCGGCGGCGGTCCGCTCCGCGCGCGCAGCCCGCCGGCCACACGCCGAGCGCAACCCGCAGCAGCGACGACTTTCCGCAACCGTTTGGCCCCGAGACGAAGACGTGGGCTCCGCGCGGGACGGAGGCGGAGAGGGGGCCGGCGAGGGGGGGCTCGGAGAGCGCTGGCGGGGCGATGACGACGGACCGGAGCTCGAGCGCCATCCCTGCCGCCGAGCAGCGCCGCCGTGACGAGGGAGAGAGGGTGGCGCGTGTGCGCGTCGCGGGGTGAGTGTGCTGTCCCGGCTGGCTGCGCGTGGCTGGGGGGGGCGGGGTTGCACCAGAGCCCGCCGTGCGAGCCTGGACGAGGGCTCGCTCGAGCAGCGGCGGGGCCGCACCCTCGCCGCCCTTCTTGGCGGCGCCGTTGCCGTTTGCGGCTTCGGCGTGCGCCGGCTCGAGCGAGGTGAGGAGGGCGAGGACGCGGCGGGCGTGCGCCGAGGCGGTGGCTGCAGTCTTGTGCGAGAGGACGAGGTCCTGCTCACAGCCGGAGGTGTGGAGAGAGGCGTTGTGCTTTTCTGTGAAGAGAGGCGCGGGAGGGGGCGGGGTGAGGGGCGAGGGAGGGACAGGGCGGTGTTCCTTGCAAGCCATCCCAACGTGGACGAGGAGGTGGAGCGAGGTGAGAAAGTACTCGGTCGGGTCGGCTCCGCCCGGGGCGGCGCGCACGACGGCGGGCAGCATCGCGGTGAAGGCGGCGAGGATGCCTACGCGCCACGCGCCTCACACGCCCTCACCGCGGGGCTGCCTGCCCGCCTGAGCGGTGGAAGGCGGCGAGGGCTGTGCCGAGGTGCCGCAACACGTACCCGTCCAGCGAGTCCGAGCCTGGGAGGGGAGGCACCGGTGGGAAGCGAGCGCGCGCGAGAGCAGGGGGAGGGCGCAAGGCTTGCCACCGAAGCGCTGCAGCTGCAGCTGCGAGGTGCGCCCGGCGGCGGCGGCGAGCGAAGCGTGCAGCGCCTCCGCCTCGGCTGCGCCGCCCCCCATGAGTGCAACCTCCTCGGCGTACTCGACGAGGTGCGAGTGCAGCGCGAGCAGCTCCGCCTGCAGACGCTCGAGGCCAGGGCTCGAGGACGCCTCCCGCAGCGGCGCTTTCGGCGGGGGGGGGCGCTGCGGCGCGAGGAGAAGCCGTCTGAGGAGAAGGGGGGGGGGGGGTCGCCTCCGCGTCTGCCACGCCCGTCGTCATCGTCGCGATCGAGGGGCCGGCGAAGCGGGTCCAGCAGCCGGCGGCGAAGAAGAAGGAGTAGCAGTAGCAGAGCGGGCCGGGGCCCATCATGAGAGCCAGCTTGACCGAGAGGAGGGACACCTCGACCAGCGGCTTCGAGAGGGCCTGCGCGAGGGAGGTGCACGCAGGTCTGCTCGGAGGCCCGCGAGGAGGCGGCTGCACGCCTTGTGTCGTCGTCGTGGGTGGCACAAGCGGCTGCCCCCTCGCCACATCCCTCGCCGCCTCCCCCTCGCCGCGCCCTCCCGGACCCGCTCGCCCGGACCCAGTCGCCGCCGCGCGGGAGAGGGGGGGGCAAGTGGAGGGCGGGGCGGGGCGGGGCACTGCAGAGGGCGGGACAGTGCGAGCTTGCGCAGGGCAGGGCTTGCGCAGGGCAGGGCGGGGCAAGCGCAGCCGCGCACCTCGTACAGCTCGACGGCGGAAGAGCAAAACTCCGCCGGGTCTGTCAAGCACACGCCGACTGCGCCGCCGCGCGACGTGTCGGCGCTGCCCTCCGCCGCCGCCGCGAGCGCGCCGGGCAGCCTGCGCGTCGCCGTCCCCTCCGGAGCGGGCATGAGCGGCGCGTCGGCGCCCGCCGCGCCCAGCTTGTCCACGACTGTCTGCAGCAGCCGCTCGCGCAGGCAGAGCGCCGCACGCTCGCGCGAGAACTTTTGGAGGGCGGTGGTGGCGGCCGCCGGCAGCGCCCAGAGCGCGTAGGTCAGCTGCCGGCTGAAGAGCTCCTCCCACTCCCCCTTCGCGAGCAACGATCCGAGCGAGCCGATCTCGGAAGACACCTTGACCGACACTGCGAGCCGCACGCCCAGGCCAAGCGAGAAGACGCCGAGCCACGCGGCCGAACGGCTCCAATACGACGGCATGGCGAGACGCAGCACGGTGCGGAGCGGGCCGGGTGCCTTTGGAGGCCTGGACGGCGGCGGCGGCGCGACGAGTGTGCCGTCCTTCTCCGCCGGAGGCTTGAGTGCACGGCGCGCCTTGAGCTTGAGCCGGAGGAAGACGGCGCGACCGGTCACGCCGACAAAGGTGACGGCCCACCCGGCGAGGAGCACACGGCCGCGTGGCTCGTTCACCCAGGCGCGAAGGAGCCGGCTGAGGACCGAGCCCTCGACTTGGTGTACCATCGCCGGCCCACGAAATTTCCCAAAATAAAGGCTCCATGGAATGGAGTACTTTTAGGGTAGACTCACCTACTCACCGCTGTCGTCATCGCTGGCACCCGACTCGCCATCGCTCGAACCGGACACTTCGCACTCTGGGCACGAATACACACACTCGCCGGCGTGACCCATGTGCGCGCATTTGAACATGTGGTCGTGGTTGCAATGTGCGCAGCACGGATCTCGCTCGCTTTCGCTACCGAGCGGCTCTAGAGTATCATGAGATGCCATGGTCACGCACTCCAGCTCGAGGCAATCTCCGCACGCCGTGCACCGCGCACGACATACACATCTCGCAACGGCAGGAACTCGGCGCTTGCTGAGACCCAGCTATGCGGATGCGTGCTCGGTGTGGGCTGTGCAGACATGGCCGGCGCGTGCCAGCCGGGCACTCGGTGATAGTAGGGGAACGTCACGAGCTCGTGCAGCTGCTCCGAGCTGAACTCAGCGACGTCATGCAGGTTGAGCTCGTGAAGCATCCGTTGCGCGTCTTTGATCGACGGCTCGTCGGGCAGCCTGGCGCGCCACGGCTGTACATCGGAGCCGTGGCGTTCGATCTCGCCGTCGATGAGGCTGCGCCGATGGGAATGCGCCGTTTCGAGCTCTCCATGCCGTGGGGCGCTGCCACGCACCTCGCCGGCTTGAGGCTTGCCCGCCCGCCCACCTCTGACGGCATTACTGTCCAACGGCCGCCTCCTCGCGGCCGGTTCACGTACATCGCGTACGGCGACTCCATCACGCACGGGTACTGCGCCGAGACGCCGTACCCGGGCTTGATTGGCAGGCTCAACAACTGGACCGCAATCAATCTCGGCTGGGGAGGCATCCGGGTCACGCCCCGGCACGGACCAGCGCTGGGCGCTATCCCCGCCGACCTCATCTCGATGCTCATTGGCACTAACGACTACGGCGGAGGAAACTGCGAAGTTGCGGCTGGCCTATCTGAGACGCTCAATGGCATCCGGGAGGCTCAGCCGGACGTCCCGCTCGTCGTCATCACGATGATTGTGAGGCGCGAAGCAGGAGACCCGCACGGCGACTGCAGCAGCGACGGCGGCGGTGGCGGCGTCACGCTCGAGCAGCTTCGTGAGCAGCTCCGGAGGGAGGTGAACAGGCGCATCCACGCCGGCGACCGGAACCTCCACCTAGTCGAGGGTGGTGGGCTGCTCTCGCTCGGCGACCTCGGCGATGGCCTTCATCCGGCCGGCACAGACGCGATGGAGAAGCTCGCGAGAGGCATCAATGCCCACTTTCACCGTCTGGGCCTTGCGCGCACTTTTCACTGCTACGCAGAGCGCTACCCGCACCTGCTCGAGGAGTACTGCGGCGGTACCGCCACCGAGTGCGACTGGGTGGCCCTGCAGCGCCACTGGGACCAGCATGGCCGCGTGGGGGGGCTGCGTGCTGATTGCGACGCGCCGCCGCCGCCGCCGCCGCCGCCGCCGCACAGCTCGCTCGGCGCGATGGCTGCGAGGCACAACCACAGGGCCCGCGGTCACGCGGCGACGAGCGCTGCGACGACTGCCGCAATCTGGTGCTCCGCCGTGGTTGGGGCGGGCGCGCTCGCCGTGGCGTTCGGAATGCTCCTCCGGGCCAAGGGGCACACCCGCTTCGCGAAAGTCCTCGGCTCCGAGGGCGAGTACGAGCTGGAGCCCGGGCCTGCCGACAGGTCTCGGGCGCCAAAACGCCGCGGACGCAGGCAGTCACAAGACAGGGAGCTGGCTCCAGCAGAGGAGAGTCCAAGGTGACGCGCACCGCTTGCGGTGGTGGATCGTGGCCCACGATGAGACGGTTGAACGGTTCTCGCTTCTTCGTACTTCGACTTCGTGCTTCGTCTGGTGCTGGTGCTGGTGTGAAGATATCTCAGAAAATCTCCCCACACTCAGCCGGCCGTGCTCTCGCTCTTAGCTTGAGGTTGAGCTAGCAGCAGGGCCTTGCTCTCGGTCCCCACACTCAGCAGGGCCGTGCTCTCGCTCTTGGCTTGAGAGAGCAGGAGGGCCAGGTGCACAACCCCTGGTGCCGCAACGACAGGAAAACTCACCCGCCTCCTGCACCCCGTAACCGCACAAAAAGCGTATTAGGACTCTGTGGAGGACCCTGTGTGAGTTCCATGGTGAATTCTGTGCGAGTTACACCCTTTTTTGTGTGTGTGCGTTGCCGATTCAAACGTGCCACGCACATGTGCATCGTACAGCCCATGCACATGCGCACATGCTACATGCATGTTGCACTCTCTTGCACATGTCCATGTCCATGTCCATGTCCATGTCCATGTCCTCCATGTCCATGTCCATGGACGCACATGCACCTCCCCTGCTCTGCAGACCCATGTGCAGACCCGCCTTCAACGGATTTTTAGTAGACTTGGACGGTCTCTGGGTCGGCGCCGCCAGCCTGGCGCCGAGGCGCCTTTGCGGGTGCGACGACTCCGCCGGAGCCCACGACTCGGCTCCTGGCGGGCCCGGCCGCGGCCCGGCCGGCGACCACGCGGTCCCGCGCCTCGACGAACGCGTTCCGCTGGGCGAGCGCCGCCTGCGCCACCTTGCGCACGCACACGAGCTGCACGATGAAGTTGTTTCCGAAGTGGAGCAGCACCGGCAGCGCCAGGCCGCCGCCCGTGCCGAGGTAGGCGGCGCCGAAGACGAGGCCGCCGAGGAAGGTCCACGCGGCGTAGATGGAGCGCTGCACGGCAGAGCGCTCGTTCCAGATGTGCATCGCCCCGAAGACCGCCGAGCTCAGCGCGGCGGCGAGCGGCGCCGGCAGCCGCGCCTTTGAGACGAGCCCGTGGAGCAGCAGCGCACGGAAGAGCACCTGGGAGGCGGCGACAGGGGAAAATGCAAGGAGCGTGGCAGGGAGACGCCGCCCTCTCCCACCCGCCAGGTTGGCCTCATCTCGTCCTCCTCATCTCGGCCACATCTCCCTCCTCATCTCGGCCACATCTCGGCCACATCTCCTGAAATCTCGAATCTCGCCTCCTCGCCCATAGAGCTGCCGGCGGCGAGCTGGAGGATGGGGAGCAGGATGGCGCCGCGCGTGGCGGGGCGCCGCAGCGCCGCCCACAGCGAGAGTCGGGGAGGCTCGTCGCCTGAGGCGCTGCCGCCGCCCGCCGCCGCCTCGGCAGCTTCTGATGCGGCGGAGTCCACCCAGACGGCAACACCGTCGCGGCAAGTGACCGCGGCGAGCTTCTGGCCAAAGTCGGACGGGCAGCCGGCGAGCTGCCGCAGGCCTTGCGTCGCCGCCTGCAGCAGCCCCAGCAACGTCGCCGTCGCCGCCGCCACCGCCACCGTGGAGGTGAGGGGCAGCAGGCGCGCGCGGCTGGGCAGCCTCCCGAGCGGCGCAAAGCGGCAGAGGACGACGCCGAGCAGCGAGCCGGCTGCGGTCTGCATGTTGAGCTGCGACAGCAGCCGGCCGCCGAGCGCGGCGGCGAAGACGGCGTTGTCGTCGGCGAGGATGGCGTCCAGCGGCAGGTCGGACAGGAAGGTGGCGCCCGAGTGCTCGTTCAGCTCCGCGAGGACACGCTCGGCGTGGAGGACGTGCGCGTTGCGCCGCTCGAGCAGCCGCGCGCGCGCTTCGTGCAGCCGCAGCCGCAGCACGTCGTCGCTCTCCCACGGCGCGTGATCCGTCTCACGCAGTGCAAGCTCCGCCTCGAGCGAGGTGCGGTTCATCTTGTGGACGGCGCCACCGCTCACGAGCGCGCCAAGGATGGGCTGGTCGGATCCGAGCGCAGCACGGGCGCACGCCGAGAGGACGAGGACGAGGTGAAGCCTCATATATACATTAAGTGAGAGACAGGCACGAAGCGGAGAGAAAGGCGGCGAGAGCTGGCGCGGGTGAAGAGGAAACAAAAATAACGCACGGGCCCACAGCGGAGCTGGGAAGAGGACCGCCGCAAGCGGCGTGGCGTGGAGCGGTTGTGCATCCCTCCGGGGGCCCCTCTGCGCCGGGGAGGCGTTGTTGGAGGCTAGGACGCAAGCGTCCGTCGCCCTTTTCAAACTCGGGGCCCACTCCGCTACGCTCCGACCCGAATTTGGAGGGCCTGAAAGTTTAAGGTGTTGCTGCGCAAAAGGGGTCGGACGCAGGGCGCAGCTCATGCTAAGAGCTAGAAGAGGAGATAGAGAGA